CAATATACCATCAGCTATAGAGGAATACAACTAATCCCAGCAATACATTTATACAGCATGGGGGGGGATGCAGGTAGTCTTACCTGCACACTCTTCAAGCAACTTTACTTTCTTCCGAGATCTTGGGACTGTCGGCAGCTGCCGTTCCCCCACACTGCAGTCTCCCTGCAACGACGTGATCATCTTGGCGGGCAGCGGCGGGAGAGAGCTCAGAGAGGCAGGGAGGAGATGCGGCATGTAGCGTGCGTTAACAACATTTTCCATCATTGATTTTAATCGACTTAGTCGATTAGTTGTTGCAGCCCCGGTCCCATCAGTCTCTGTAACGTTATTTCTTTTTTTTGGGATTCTGAGGAAATTCGTTTGCTGCAATGAAAATTCGTCCACAAACGAAAATGCATACAGACTACCGCTAACAAATTTCGTCAGGACGAATCGCACATGTCTACAGGATGCAGGGCTTAGGGTTAGTTCACACCATAAGCAGTGCGCTCTGGCTGGATTCTGGCCAGAACGCACTGCCCGCATTGCGACCGACTCACTATGTTGCCGGGCTGGAGGGGGCGTGGCGGGCCATTGAAGTGAATGGCACCGTAGTCACGCCCTCCGTCTGCAATGCGATCACCTGCATGGGATCGCAAGGCACGTTGTGCCTGCAGTGCGTTCGGGTGCGGTGCGATCAAAATAGTGCTTGCAGCATTTTAATCGCACCGCACCCGAACGCACTGCAGGCACAATGTGCCTTGCGATCCCGTGTGTCCTCCCGTTACCCGTAGGCCCCATTCCCACTGAGCGCAAAATCCAGTGATTTCCTCCGCGATATCACGCATTTTTGCCGCGCAATATAGCGAGAAGTAGTCGGCCAATGATTTTCAATGGAGCTGTCTTAATGTACAGCTCCGTGTCGCCCGTCGCGGTCGCAAGTCGCGCCTGCAGGACCCTTTTTCCCGCGGATGTTGCGCGAATGTCCTTTTTTAAAATGCAGCTCGACTGTGAAGGTTGCTCAATCATCGCTGGAACATCGCCCGAAATCCACTCGAAGTAAGTGTCGCTTAGTGTGAATGGGGCCGTAGGAGAACTATGGGGAAAAACAACTACCCCATAGTTCTCCTTTAATGATGCGCTGGACGCAGGACCCACCTGAGACCCCACACATACCTGAGATGCTGCACAGTCCATCTGATACTCTTTATGGTGGGCTCTGCCGGGGGCTCAGGTGGGCTGCATATCCCTCCCCCCTCCTTTCTCTCCCCCCCCCCCCCCCCC